AGCTGATCGTGATAAGTCACACTGATGTGTGCTGCTGCTATCGCATCTACACTTACTGTGGACATTACACAGCCCGAGCAGTTGCCACCGCACTTCCTGGCAAACTAAGTCTCCTTGACCTTGTTCTTTTACAAGCAATGCAATTACATTACACCGGGCATAACGATTACCGAGGGTACGTACCGTCGAATTACGCTTCCAATAAAGAAACAGGAGAGCGGTTGTAACCGCATCCGCCTCACACTACAAAATAGTGGCCTAATAAATCTATCATAAACACAAGTTTTCTTCCATATTGGAATATGAACCGCCAATCTGGACCGGGTCACGAGCTATAGCAACCAGTACAGTTTGTGTGTAGTGCGCGCGTGTTTTGTGGTGTGTGAGTGTATTGTGGCCGTGACTCCGAGGGCAAAAATAAAATTGGTTATTGCGCTCCGTTATGACTTTGTAAATCGATTGGATTGATTTATAGATTTAGACTTTGTCTGAGGAACGGTGGAAATTTGTGGTGTAGCCCATCATTTCATACGATTGACATTTAGTTGATTGAGCGTAACGTTTATTGATTTTTTATTGCTGCTGAACGGCGCAAGCGGAATGTTAATGAGAAGCAAACATAACAATAGATTATCTACTATCAACCCACAATTTGCGATTTTCGGGTGGAAAATTTGACATTCTGTTTATTTTACAAGACAATACGAGTGAAAATTTCTGCTTGTCAAAGGGCAGATACCTATGTATTACACATGTGGCCAACTTTCGCAGCAGTGATGGTGAAAATCGTTACTACATTATAAAAAAAAACTACATTTAAACATAAAAAACTTTTCAGTCTAAATATTACAAACACGTCATTTAGGTTAAACCGTTACACAAAAAACATTGTGTTCTAGCTGGAAGGATGCTGACATCTGAAGAAGTATTCCATGAGGATGTGAGAAGGGTGCTGGGCCGTGGGGGATGAGGAAGGAAGCTGGGCGACCGTGGGGCATGAGGAAGCGGATATGCTGGGCGCGTGGGGGATGAGGAAGGGATGCTGGGCCGTGGGGATGAGGAAGGGATGCTGGGCCGTGGGGATGAGGAAGGGATGCTGGGCCGTGGGGGATGAGGAAGGGAAGCTGGGCCGTGGGGATGAGGAAGGGATGCTGGGCCGTGGGGATGAGGAAGGGATGCTGGGCCGTGGGGATGAGGAAGAGATGCTGAGGCCATGCTGAGGAAGGAAGGCTGATGCCATAATAATTAGGAAGAGAGGCTGATGCCATAATAATTAGGAAGGGAGGCTGAGACCATGATAATTAGGAAGGGATGCTTAGGCCATGATAATGAGGAAAGGATGCTATTACCACAATGACCAGGAAAGGATGCTGATGCCACAATGATAAGGAAAGGGTGACGAGGAAGCCACGAGGATGAGGAAGGGATGCTGAGAAAGCTGCGATGATAAAGCCATGGCGACGACATATCAGATGCTTTGCAATCGCCGAGTGTCGATCTTCTCCAGTTGCACTAATCTGAGCAGTATTTAAGGAGATTATAACATCAAACGTACAGGGACACACACGAATCAACCATGCCATGTATTGGGACCACACACAAAGTCATCTAAGCCTAAGAGGTGGATGGCTTCCATTGATTTTGAATGTAATTTTGCAGTTCTATACGAATCCTATACACAATCACTGTGCTATCATGCTATACAGTTGCATTCCATTAACATTGGCTCGACTAGACGACACCCATCAAGGATACGGTTTCAGTTGCTCAGCAAATGTTTTCATATCGTCGGCCACAGCGTCCTGCAAATAAGTAAAATATGTTTATGCAGGCTTAAATTCCAATCAGGAACACCATAGGACCCGGGACATACTTCCACCGAGTGAAATTCTGGGCAGCATGTAGTTTCCAACACTACAGTATTTAATAGTGCAGCGCATCCACGTGGAAGGAGGTGGTAAAGAATGACAGGGCGAAGCTCGGATTGGAAACGGCGGACCCTCAAAACTGCTCTGCGTGGAGAGGGCGTCTCCGACGACGACAAGTCAGACAGGCCCCACTCTCGGGAGAGAATTAATTTAGGCCTGGATAAACTAAAGCCGGATGATGATGATGATGATATGATGATCCACAATAGCAGCATGCCCTTGTAATAAATGCATTTCGGTAAATCGTAGCAAGACCATCCTATATTAAATTACCTCACACGGAGTTGGATGGTATATTTAATAGTTAGATCACTATATAAGAATTTATTAACATAATAACTATGTAATTAGGGAGAAATTATCATTTAATCACTAAAATATACGTGATATCTCAACTCTTATTTACAACTTCGCCAGACATGGCGTAGACGTGACAATACCTGTCCAGCCGGTGCTGTTAGGCTCAGCTCTACCAAACAGGAAAGTGACATCGGCTCTATGCTATCAGTCTTCCCTGGCTGCACAACCTGATAGCAAATATGACATGGACTCACGATTATTTCAAGTAATACGTATCCTACACGATAAATACGTGGATATCTTTTGGTACAACACATTATTTCGTCAACTTCAATAGGTAAGGGGGTGAGAAAGTTATATAATGAAATATATATATGTGTCACAGCTTACCCTGAACACCTTGGAGACTGTCACTTTCATTCTGCCTTTTCGAAACATATATCCTTTCGTGACGTATTCAAAATCAAGTCTGAAAAATAATCACACAAACTTTTATACCTAACCAAGATGATGCATACAGTATAACACACATCCACCGACCAACTCATTTTAAAACGGGCAAAATTGGTTTACTGTATCAATATTAATGTACAGAGATATAATGTAAGCTGGACCAGCATCTGCCAACATATTCATACACTCCAAACAAAGTGAAAATGTCAGCAAAAAAATACAAAGCTTCAGAACGTGCCGTTAAGGGTAGTTTTCTTTAGTAGAATTCTACTTTCGAACAGGGTATTAGCCAGGAATGAGTATTGTGGGAGTGCAGAAAAAATATTTGGGAGTGCAATTTTTACAATGTACATGGCTTTAGATCAATATTTTAGGCCGTGCTACACATTTTTGGCTGTGCAATTTCAAAACTGACCGTGCAAATCACGGCTGCACGGCTCGCTGGCTAATACGTTGCTTTCGAATGGCGAGGTTTGATCGATTCTCATACGAGATTCGGCGAAACGAAGAGGTTAACGCACAAAGAGCGTCCGTTCGGTCGATACCTGAATCCCAGCTCCTGCAGGAATATTATGAGGTCATCGGACGTGCCCACGTCGATACATGTGCGAACCATCGCGCTCTTGCTGCGATCAACTCCCGTCCCCGACGCCTCAGGATTACCGACGTAACGCAAGTGCCTGCACAATGGGATGGCATTACGACGATGCACGGCACACAGGAGTTAAGCTCAATCATACTATACTAGGAAAGCAAATTGCTATGTATCATCAATGATATATATATATATATCTGTACATAGTAATTCATTTACGCGAGTATTTAACAATAACGTAGCATATATTTATACAGCTTTATGTTGAGCTTAGTTTCATTGTTAGTGTAACACAAATAAGGTGTGTGCACGGATGTGTGTTGCAATGCAAATGTACAGACAGGTCATGCCACTTATAAACATGGTAATTACTGACCACGGCTCTTCAGGATGTTCTAGTGACTGGCTAGCTCTCACGGTGATAGGCATCTGCTGCACCCCACCGATACCAACGCCACCTGTTGCCAGCAAACAGCAAAAAGTATTCCCACAAGATCACCAGTTTCACCTAAATATGTCCAATAATGAGTGAAACTAATCATTTACAAAAATGTGCATGTTATACTAATAGCCATACAAAAATTGAAGACTCTCTGATAGGTAGGTGTAATATAGCACACCTATGATTTGTTTATGATAGTAAACAACAAACATAAACACACACATATTCTAGTATACATATAGTAAACATATATCCATGTTATATGTAGAAACACATCAATACTCTATATCCACATCTATTGTTAAGAATCTACTTCATACACTAACAGTATAGATATACTCATTGTATGAGTGTTAAGGATTTTGAGGTTCGTACTTACGTATCACGTAAACCATCTCGTGATCGTGAAATGATTCTGGTTCAGACTCTGTACAATCACACAGGCCCCTCAGACGATGCAGTAGAATGTCTTTTGCTGCATCATGAATACTTCCCTGGAGGTAGTACTCCTAAATTATATAAAAAGTCCAAACATTTCTCTTATCTTTCAAATCATCACCTATTAAATTAATAATCCTTTGTTATTACATCTATCAGTTAAAAGATTACACCGAAGAAATCCATGGGAACTTACGAATGCATTTCCAAAAGCGTAAAGAAATATTTTCAATGTCAAATTAATAACATTTAAAAGCAGGTAAAATCCAAAACTTTGGGAACTGCCCTGACCTCACATGTATTATAAGTAAACATTGTTACTGAATCCAATTTTTTATACAATAAAATTGTTTTAACCTATTGGCAGGTGATCATATTAGCTTAAATACCTTTGCTGGTAATATTGGTAGAACAGAGCTCAGTGATTCCGCCATAACTCTTGCTGTTCTATGAAGGCTATTGTCTTTAGACTTTAGTCACCTTATACCACGCGTGACTGAAAAAAAGTGAGGAAAATGGAATCTTTTAGTTTTATCAGTGTGTTATATCCGATTTAATAAGTTCAGTGTACACGGAAAAGTTATTCTACTAGTCTTATTTTACAAATTACAAATTCTTGAATTGGTATGTTTTGAAATTGGTCAGTGAGTGGTCTACGAAAAACTGCAAGGTCTTCATAACCTCAGGCTCAGATGGAACAGAACTTGATCATGTGCGGAATAAGTCCGAGCCGACGCAGACCCCAGTAATGGGTCCAGTAATGATAAACCCGCACCCTCAGATTAGCAAAGCGGAGTTATAACATCTGCATTTGCGCCAATTGCGGACTAGTGCGGAATGATCATACAAATTAAAATGATACGTGTAATTTCAAGTAGGCCCTAGTGACTCATATACTGAATTGTTACAGTTTTAGTATTAAACACAGTGTAATCAGTAAGACTAAAATTGTAGGACATAGTGATCTATTACTATTAGTGTTATATATTATAACAGTGTTATACAGTTCCTTGTATAACAGACAGCGTGAAGCAGACAGCGTAACATGGCGCCATCTATTATCTAGCCATTCTAGGATGTACACAAAGCCGAAAATGGGAGAAGTCAAGAGAAACATAGCTAGGCCAATTTGTAACTGAAACGGAAACTACGAGTACAGCAGTGATTTACAAAGTTAAACAACGAAAACTTTAGGTATTTCACAATTTATATACCATGAGTGAGGCATAAATGACGAAGATAACAGTCAGTGTGGCGTTTATAGTGGAACCGTGGTCGTTGTTGTCTAAACTAAAGTAGACGGCGGGTTATACTCAATCACGCCGACTCTATATCCTTATTACACACGTTTCCATTACCAATATGCACTCGAAAATTACCGTAACTCATTCGCAAACACGATAACAAAACAGAAATATAAAATTGGGCTGTGAAAAGCTGAAATTTACGAAGCAAGACGAGATTTATGTTTATACACAAAAGTCAAGAGCGCCATCTATCGAGTACTTTATCAATTCATTGTCCACTTGATCAAATTATTGATGGCTTCATCAAGTTAGGCCATAAAAAGTGGACAAATAATAATTAAAGTGTGACATTTACATAAAAATTATAAGGATATGTTATAAAGAGCTGCTGGCAACAGTGTTGCATGTGAGCAAGATAAAGGTATGGTAACATTAAAAAATGTATAAAATTGCTTCATCTTATTTGTTTCATATGTTATATTATTATTAATCTATATCTACTTTTAGTATTTTTCAGATGCACACATTATAAATCGAAACAAAGTGAAATTGGCACATTCACATGGATTCATCAACAGCAGAAGTGAGTGCAAAATGGCATACACGAGTATGTGCAGCGGCCAATTGATATATAATAACGGATTTGATAGTAGCCAATTCCCATAATAACACATTGATATATATATACCTGTATGGTATGTCTGTCTGAGTTAATTAATAATGAACGTTTTAATGAAAGATAACCTCTGCAGTTACAATATCATTCTGAGTCTTCAAATTTTTTTTTCACAAGACGGGTATAGGAATGACTTTTACTGATTTTGTAGGCAAGCACAGCAGAGATGTACATTGGGGTGGACGTAGGAACTTGTAGTGTGCGTGCCGGTCTTTTCACCCGGAATGGCGAGCTGGTATCTATGTCATCCCAACCATTGAGGGTCAACCAACCAAAGGCAGACTTTAGTGAGCAGTCGTCGGATGAAATATGGGAGGGTGTGTGCAGTGTTGTAAAGGTATCAAACTTTATGGCACTCGGGTATGTACGTGCATCCACCTCCACTGTTTGTCGAGCACGTATAATTATGAGCATATCGTTACGATGCAACTGTATAAATACATTCGTGGTATGACGTGTAGTCAGAGGTTCATGTACTATCCAAGGCAACAGGTGTGCCAGATGTGAGTGCAACAGTTTTAACGAACCCACCTTACACGAGAGTGACTCGACTCAATTGCTCAGTTAAAGTCAGGTTTCAATCTTGCCCCCCAATTTGAAGTAACGTATTTAGATTCGTGTGTATGCCAGGTGCACATATGGTAACAAATGTTAAACTTTTGCAGACTATGATGATGTTGGTATCCAGCATGTAATGCAGTATATACTACAACGTAATGCACTTGGTGTAACTGAAGCATTGGGTGGAAGTATCTGTTGATATACTTGCTGATTGTTGCAGGCTGTAGCAGCACACACGAGGGATAATACACAGATAAAAGGTATAGGATTTGATGCCACTTGCTCCCTGGTAGTTCTAGATGAAGACTTTCTACCTGTGTCTGTCTCCCCCACAGGTAAGTAATCACCAAACAGACTGACGTTAAAATCACGAAGCATGCTATAATTGCCTAATTTAAAAAAAGTACTTGAGCAATCCACCATATGCCACCCAACGTCATATATCGGAAGGTAACAAAGACGCATACTGCTTTCTACAACTTAACCATGTGGTGACAAGGTAGATTGATATTTGGTGACATTTTCCCGACAAGGAGTCCTGAATTTGGACATCTTCCGAAGTCGTGCAGCCATCCTGGAAATGACTCTGAAAACCCAGCCAGTCCTAATCTCGAAAAAGTTTGATTTCTAATATATAACCTTTAGCAAAATCTATGAAAATAGCCGGTAAAATGTTAGCAGTCCCACAGCGGAAGAAGACAGCTCGCGATTTTCAACGCTGTGTATCAACCGAGAAACTCGCGTGGCGACCGGTGGAAGTAAGCACATGCTGCGATCATTCTCTAGGCGATGCGGAATGGAACGTGGTGATGTGGATGGACCACCGGGCGAAGGACCAGGCCGAGCGAATCAACGCCGGTCGCCACGACGTCCTCCGCAATGTTGGCGGCAAGATGTCTCTCGAGATGCAGCCACCGAAGCTGATGTGGCTGAAGGAGGTACGTCGCCATGGCAACCGGTGCGCGTCCGGCGCGGGCGTACGTCTTTCGTCGCGTCTCGGTGTGCCGGCGTCGGCGCGTGTGGTCATGATACAGACACCGCTGTCAGCAGTGTATCAAAGATTTCTCACCTGAATGGCTAGTTCTAGATCTCTAGAACAGGTCAGAACCTGTGGCAGAGTGAAGTGCTATAGTTCTAGAGCTACCGAACGGCGTGATAAAGCAAAGATATATAATGTTAGCATGTGGGAGGGGAAGTGTCAAGGGAAAACACAAGTTGACGTGGTGCTTTGGAACGACAGTTTCTTGGGCAAATACTACAACGATGTTTTGTTTCAGTGTTTACATGAACAATGTTGGAAAAAGGCCAAGCATTTCATGGATCTGCCAGACTTTTTGACTTTCAAGGCCACCGGTTCAACGTCTAGGTATTTATAATGTTCAATTCGAAAATTTGGTTAGAGATAGCAAATAAAAGATACCGATCACAGCAGCAGCATATGTGGTGGGAAAGATTCCATGTAATATATACACGGATTTCATTAAAGCACGTGTCTCAAGCTGTTAAGAATAATTACAGCTAACTTCAATCGATAGCATCTTGTACGTCCACAAAACTGATCAGTGATCTAGATAACACATATTTTATATATCTATATCTATATATACATATGTATATATAAAGAGATATATATATATATATGTATCTAATATATGTATGTATATATACATTTACACGTACTAATCTAACTTAGTCTTGCTGTTCAGGTCTCTGTGCTCGCTCGTGTGCAAGTGGGGATTCCAGGCCTCGGAGGAGGGAGAACGATTCTGGGACGACAGCTTCTGGCAGGAGATCGGCCTCCACGACCTTGTAACCGACAATCACGACTCGATCGGTACGATCTCGCACACGTCACTCGAAGCGAGCCGTGGCGCACTCTGGTGGCAACCGGACGCGTGATCCTTATCCTGCGTTCTTATGTTATTCGGGGAATCCTGTCTCGGCAGGCAGATGACGGTTGTGAAACTTTGAGATGTGTAGTTGTTCGTGTGCAGAGGCGGCGCCCTCTAGTGGCATCAGGGGTGTCCTCGCACTGACTGAGGGACTCATATGACTCATGTAGATGGGACCATGCCACCCTTGTAGAGATTTACAGGTGGCGCCCCTGACAGGGACGGGTGGCACCCTCGCGGGGGGGGACGGGTGCGCCCGTCGGTGGGGATGGGTGGCGCCCTCGCGCGCGCAGCAAGCGCCTGACGTGCTGTTGTTTGCGTTTCAGGCAGCGTCGCGCTGGTTCGCGGGCGACGCGTGCGGGGCGGGCGTGTCCGCAGGCGGGCCGGGCGGGCCTCGCCTCCCCGCGGGGATGCCCGTTGGCTGCGTCGATCGTCGATGCGCACGCGGCGCGGGCTGGGCGCGGTCGGATGCAGGCGTGGACGGGGAGCCACGGCTGTCCGCGCTGCACGCTGCCGCAGCGTCCCCGTCATCTGCGGCACGTCGGCATGCCACATGGCGGTAAGCGAGAGTCATCACGGTGGCGCCACCTGCACCTCCGCGGAGGTGTCGTGTGGTGGGGCGCGCCACCTGCAGG